GCCATCCACACGAAAGTACAAGAGGTAAAGCCATTTCTTACGGTGTGGAGTAAAGACTGTAAGTTGATTTTTCATGCACCCGAATGCGGCATCAGCTTCTTTGCCATCGTTCGTGGTGACTGATGGCAATCAGCGCTATACATTGAAGGCCAAATGTTATTTGACTCGACCTCTGAATTTACAGAGCACAACTAAATTTACTACTGACCCTGTGGGAAGGATACTAGAAACCCCAACAAACTGTATTCGTAAACTGGCGACTGTGTATTACTAATACTATAACAAATCCACATCATTATAGAGAGGTAAGCTTTAAAATATCTGTCAGCAGCCCCAATGCTCTGGACTGCCGAAAAAACGTCGAAAAAACTGGAGGTTTTTTCGGAGGTATGCGGACCTTGCGATTGGCACTGTGGCCATGAACTTCTCCAATAGAGGTTGTTTTTCCGCAACCTTAACGCCATTCCACAGCGCTCTTACCACATAATCTAGACCTCATCATCCTTTACCAGTCCTCCCACGATGTGGACTCGAGCCAATCCTTCGACCCAGCCATACAAGCAAAGAGTCTGGTCTTAATTGAGTCCACATCTTGGACCTACTACAGAAGTGTGTCGGTGTGTAGCATCTGCCGAACGGTAGAAAGACCGACATAGCCGTGACTGGACAATTTTTATGAGTGACGCCGCGTTGAATAGACACTCAGAGATCCATCTGTCCGAAAACCCAGCTTCCTGTCAGATTTGTCCTTTTACTGCTACAAGGGCTCTTACTAGAAATCACAATTCATGAGTTGAAACCCGCTATTCTGAATGGTAGCGGTCAAAATCATCCGAACAGTGAGGAAAACCTACATCCAAGTTCAGCGTGCCTTGATTAAATCGAGTATAAGTATGTATTCTAATAATGTAGGCAATCTTTCGTCTGTCAACTGAGAACTGGCCATTATAGAAACTTCTTTGAGGAACAAAACATGACATCAATGAGGGGAGCCGCGTAGGTCCTTCCTTATTATTTATTGACCTGGCGCTTGGGGAGTGCAGTACGAGCTTGTAGGTGGAAAGTGTAGACGAGCCGTTGAGTCCTGTCGGCCATCGCGCACACGCTTATCATCGGCCGTTTTGATTGCACAATACAATTGGAACGTAATGGTGGTGGCAAGTGTGAAGATAACTACCGCAAAAGTCTCTTCAACCCTAAACTAATTGCACAAGTTATCATCACTGCGTCGCCGTTTGCGACAACCTACCTGTCCGGTTCGAACCCTGACTGATCTACTGTTTCGCTTGTCTAAACGGAGGCCACCCGTGGCCGTTTGCGTGTGTTAGCGGACCCCACTGAATCCGCGCGAAACCCATAGGTACTACAGCGCATCTCTGTCGTTTGCTGTAGATGAAAATCCATGCTGCCTCAGTTATTGCACCCAATGTCGCCAGCAGTCGTCTGGCAGGCTCGACCAGGTCGATACTGTGTTACCATCCCTGCTGATGGCAATCAGCCCATCACTCACTGTTGCATGTGAAAAGGTCTCGAGGTGCTACTAGCCTTAATTCTAAGGTTGCTGGATAGAAACGTCGACGCCCCCAAGGCACTGTGCCAAATTTTTCGTCTTTATGAGGGATGATTCATCCTCTTTACAGTTTCCAACACGTTCGCACGCACCGGCGCTGGGGGTGCTTGTTAGCTTTTTCAAACGCACTTCACTTCACAGGATGTGCAGTACGCCTAGCAGATGTTCGTAGCTTCGTCTTCTAGACAGCAGTCCTGTAAACCTCGTGACTTAAGTTCACATCATGGCCACATTTCCATAGGTTTTACCAATACTGAGATACTACAGTCGAATAACGACTGATTTTATTATTAACATGCACTAGTTAGGTTCTTCTTGCATTCTTTATGAGCATTACAAATTGCTGTACAAGTTCGACTGAAGATCTGTACGTCAGAGCCAGATGATAAGTCGCTATGCCTTTCAATTGCTCGTGGAGGTAGACTAATGCGAAGCGTGCCTTGAGATAGTTGAAGGAAGAAAAACAGGAAAAAAAACCAGTGTATCCTACACCTGGTGTGTTTGGTAGAGTTGGACCTGCGCTACAAAGAACATAACAAACAACAGAGAGGGATAGAAGACGGCCGTCAGTTCAAGCGATACAAATAACAGTTTGCACTGTGAATCAATAGCTCGACTGTTGCAAATGTCCGAAAAAAAAACATTTTCCAGAAGAGGGCGCAGTTGTAAGTTACAGCGTGCATTTGTTCTAAACAAAGTATATTTGCGCGGCACCTACGTCGTCCTTCTCTCGCCCGCCACAGTCCATCGGTACCTCGGCGTCAGGAGGACTGGATATTTGGTGTGGACGCGATGAATCATTGCCAAATAACCTGTATAAAAGTGTGTACTCCATACCTATATCAACGGCAGCAGTCTGGCCCTCTGTTCTGAGTAGGGGTACGCTCATACATGCCTTGTCAACTGTACAAACCAGGGCTCCCAGCGTGTCGAAATCACTGAAAAGCACGTTTAGCTTACTACTGCAGTGAGGAAACCCAGTCATGAATATGAGCTGGATTGAGCTCAATCTTCTGCCTCCCCCGCACTCGCGGCAAGGTTGAGTCATGCCGGCTGGGATGTGATTGGATTCAATGAGTCACGTGGCGTCGAGTGTTGGTGCAGCCTGTGCCACACACTAATCGACTTTGCAGCTGCGTCGGCGGTGTTGCCCTGTGCCAAGCATTTGCTGTGGCTATTTTTACTTTCTGGCATAAGAATTACCTAGTGGCGTCTTTTATGGTCTGTTTAGCCCTCTTCTGTTCCTGTTCTATTGTCAGTATGGCTAGGTCTTTTGGGTGCACATGTTTGACGCTATTATCACGGGACTTCTTTCACCAATATCTTGCAGC